CTGACTGTGAACTTCATGCAGGTGCTGGGCACTGAACCTGGGTTCTTTGCAAGAGCAGCCAGTGGTCCTAAGTCCTGGGATATTGCTTAAGTCCACACATTTTACTTTAAAGGGCCTTCTGTACTGTGGGTTTTTTTTTTTTTTTTGTATTAGTGTCTGCACTAATTCATAACCTCATGAATAGTGTTTCAGAGCTCCCTTTTCTTTATATTTTAGGTAGTACTTGCTGTTTTTTCACTGAAAATAATTTGTTATATAATATATTCTGATCATGGTTTCCCCTTTCCTATCCTCTTCCAGATACACTCCACTTCCCCACCCATCCAACTCCACACCTTCTCTCTCTCTTTTAGAAAGCAAACAGGTAAAAAGCAAACAACAAACAAACCACAATAAAAAGTACAAGAAACACACACATACACACAAATGCAAAATCAGAAACCACAATATACAAGAAGACCAGTAATATAAAAAAGTTCCCCAAAAAGCAAAACCTGAAGAAAATCTACAAAAGTACCATTGACATGTGTGTGCGTTGGCCATCTGCTGCTGGAGATGGGGCGTGTCTTTAAGTGTAGTTTGTATGATCAGTGAGACTCCACTGGAGAAAAGCTATTTTGCCTTTGCAAATGGTTGTCAGTTGGAGATAACTTCTTGGCTTGGGATGGAAGGGTGTGTCCACTTCCCCTCTTAGCCCTGTGTCTCCATCTGGTTTGGATCTGTGCAGACCCTATGCAAGCTGCCACAGCCTCTGCCTGTCAAGAAGACACTGTTTCTTTGGTGTTGTCTATTCCGTCTGTTATAATGTTTCTGCCTCCTCCTAGTTCTCTGAGCCCCGAGAGGAGGGTTCTGATGGAGACATCCCACTTAGAACTAGGTGTCCCAAGGTCTCTCACTCTCTGTACGTTGTCCATTTATGGGTTTCTGTATTTGTTTATATCTATGGAAAGGAGGAAGCGTCTCTGGTGGTAGCTGAGGGAGGCACTGATCTATGGGTATTGCAGAGTGTCATTAGGAGCCACTTCCGTGCTATGTTCCTTTAGCAGAACAATAATATGTGGTTTTCTCGTGGGTACACGGCCTATCTGGTCTCAGGTTCTTGTCTGTCCATTCATTGTCAGACACAGGTTCCATCTCATGGAGTGGGCCTTAAATCCAAGCAGAGCGCGGTTGGTTCCTCCACAATGCTTGTGCCCCTATTGTACCATCATGTTCACCATTGTGGATCAAGGGGTTTGTAGCTGGGTTGATGGTTACCTTTTCCTCTGGTAGCGTGCAGAGTACCTTCCAGCACTATGAAATGCTGGTCAGCAGGGTTGAAGGCTCTAGAGTCACCAACTTGACTTCTCCACATTCTATGAGGTGCAGAAGTGTTGTCTTCAGCAACAGGGCATTACCATCCATTTGTGGAGAACAACCGAGAACCTTGGCGATTGCCTCTATCGTTTGGAGGTTCCATGAACCTCTCTGGCCAGCAATTCAACTACATGTAACCCATTCCTGGCACTGGAAGTTTTGCTTGGTGCCAAAAGATGTCTAGCTGGGGCACCATCTCCTCTGTGATTGGTGGCGCCATTCACATTTATTTTGTATGTATACCTATCTTAGGAGGCCTCTAGAGTAGCAGCTTTCCATATGAGCCCACAAATGGCCCCTAATGTTAGTTTTCCTTCCTGCAATTCCATTCCTTACTCCTTTTCTCTCCATCTCTTTTTAATTCTTTCATTTGAGTCTTCCTTGTCTCTTTATGACTGTACATTCTATTTCTTCATCCTTGGGAGAGCTCTTCTTTCTGGTCCTGCTCTCTATACCTAACTTCTGCGGTTATACAGATTGTATACATGCCTATGCAAGGCTTAAAAACTAATGTCCACATACAAGAGGATACACACAGTATCTGTCCTTTTGGATCTGGGTACCTTAGAATGATTTTTCTATGTCTAGCTATATACCAGCAAATTTCATAATTCTATTTTTAATAGGTGAGTAACATTCCACTGAGTACATGCCACAGTGGCTTATTTTATGTGTCAGTTTGATTAAGGTTTAGTTGTTCTGTTGAATGTCAGTTTTCCTGAACCTGCTTTATAAATGTGTTTAAGATTTTTCTTTTTCCAAGACAGGGTTTTTCTGTATAACGAGCCTTGATTGTTCTGGACTCGCTTTGTATGGCAGGGTGCCTTCAAGCCTAGAGATCCACCTGCCTCTGCCTCCTGAGTGCTGGGACTGTAGGTGTGTGCCACCATGGCCATCGATGTATTTAAGATTTAAGCCAATAGACTTTGATAAAACACAGCGTTCCTCACAACGTGATTTTTATATCATAAGCTTTTTGCTCTTTATGTTTACAGGTAAAATTTTTAACTATTTCTTTTATTTTTGATAATATAATATAATTACTTCATTTTCCCCTTTCCTTTCCTCTGTCCAAATTATTCCATATGCAACTCTCCTTGATCTCTTTCAAATTCATGGTCCTTTTATTCATGAATTGTTGTTACATGTATGTCTGTCTGTTTGTATGTATGTACATATGTATATATACACATATATATTCCTAAATATATCTGTTCAGTCTGTATAATGTTGTGTGCATGCAATTTTCAGGGCTGACCGTTTGGTTTTGATAACCAGTTGGATGCTCTTCCCCAGGGAGGACTGTTTCTCTGGCTCCCAGAATTCCTTAGTTGGCCGTAGTCGTTTGTGTAGAGTTGAGGCCTCGTGGTCTTTTCCCATTCACTTTGTCATCTAAAGGTAAATATTTTTATGAAAGAAGGAATGACTTGAATTTATATTGAGTAGTTGAGGTCAAGAATATTTGTTGGCTTCATGCTAAGAATGAGGCGGCCTGGAGACACGGCCCCCAGTCAGAGGTGCCCATGCTTACTGTGTTTGTAGAGGACCTGGATTCCATTTCACTCTCAGCTGCCTCCCAGCCTCCCGGAACTCCAGCTCCAGGGGACCCTGATCCCTGCGGCCTCCACGGAACTGCATTGGTGTGCACATCCCCACCCATACATACATGCATCCTCGCAACTAAAAACAAAGTGAAACTAGTTTAAGAAAGAGCACATCAGGGGACCACATGGTTACTTTCATTCAGTCTACAGATTTGGAGAATCAAATCAGGAGTAAGGTCTAGCTGGTCATGGATGACAGAGAGATTGTACTTTTTCATTCAACTTTTGGATTCAATGCATTAAAACATTACTTAGAATTGTGTTTAATATAGTCATTGGAGAACGTTGATTTTTTTTCTGATCTTGAACAATAATTACTGTAGCTCTGAAAATGTATGATCTTCCTTATCATTCTAATCTAGAAAATGTAAATAGTATTAAAACTTAGAGTAACTTGAAAAATTATCAGTGTGTCTGCTCTTTTGAGTATTTTATTTTATTTGTGAAAGGTCTTTTCTGTGAAGCCTAATGATCCTCCTGCCTCAGCTTCCTTTGAATTGAGGTTATAGGCATGTGTCCCCACAGCCAGCTTCTTTGACCTCTACTCCAATCTACTGACTCTGTTTCATTCTTTGGCTCTCCGTTTCATTTCCCCTGCCTTGAGATAGGAAGGTAGGATCTTGTTGTGTAGTCCAGGCTAGCTTCCAACTTGTGGTCCTCCAGGTTTGTACCCCTGCACCTAGCTAATGCCTATTGTTTACCTCAGCGCTTTGTAATTAGTTTCTCCATTTTTTTTCTTGAATGTCATCTCTACTAATATGTCAAAATTTACAATTTTTAAAAAATAACTGGGGAGTGGATTTATTTCTTAATACTCTATTAGCTTCACCTTTAATTAGTTCTCTTATTCTATTTTTATTATATACTGGGAAGTGACTGTTTCCCTGTATGTCAGTATGTGCACTTCTGTATGTGTGTGTGTGGGGCTGACAGTCCGACTTTGGTTGTCGGAGTTATTCACCTTTTTTTTAGGCAGGGTCTTCTCGGAATGAATTGGGGCTCATTGACTGGTAGGACTGGCCACTGAGCTCCAGAAGTCCACCTGTCTCCATTTCCCTAGAGCTAGCATTCCGAGTGTGCACCACTATGCCCAGCTTTTTACCTGGGTGCCGAACTTTGAACTTGGTGCTTGCAAGCACCTTACAGATGGAGCTATCTCCTCATCTCCCTCTTCTTTTTTGAGAATGGCCTTGAACTTGCTATGTAAATCGGGCTGGATTTGAGCTTCTAAACCATGCTCTTGAGGGTGGGGATGCATATGCCAGCATGACCACCATGTGAGGTGTGGGGGATCAAACCCAAGGCCTCATGAATGTCAGGCGGGTACTCTATCAACGTTCCCTGAGCTCAGGTCTGTTATCCTTTTAAGGTTTGAATGTGAGCATGCAGGCATGTTAATTTTTGTTTATTAATAGCCACTTAATGATACACTTTGTCTTCCCTGAAGACTTCATCGCAGGTCTTCATAGCCTTAGCACGCAACGTTCCTATGTCCACAAGAGTCTGCATAGTTTTGAGTTTTGTTGACCTAGGATGCTTTTGTTTTACAGTAAAGTTGTCATTAGAAATTTCACCAAATCTTCATGGCTAGATTCAGAATATCCTGAAGTGATCATTGGATTTTTCCTTTTCGTCTTTCTTTCTTTCTTTTTTCTTTTTGCTGGGGGCAAGGGAACTCCAGACGTAGAGTTGTGTTATTTACCAGCGAAGTAGTCTGCTGTTGCATGCTGTACAGATGCGCGTTCCCAATGGGTGTCTGTCCACCTTGGTTATTTTGTTGTAATATTAGTATACTCTCTGGAACGCTATCTTCATATTCTCTTCCAACAGACAGAGTATGGACTTTCCAAATCAAAGTGCAAAATCAAGAAGAGCCTACCGTGCCTTGGAATGATGAGATTAGATGCTCAAGCAAGCCACAGACGATCTCCATCCCCTTCCAAAAAAAAATAATGAATAAATAAATAAAAATCTGGAGTTGTGTGTTTGAAGGGTGTGGGATAAAAGACTATAGTCACGCAGTTTTACATAGTTTACTAGCTAAAGCAGATACTTCCTCAGGGTCCTTTTCACGGCTGCCTTCACCTCCTTGTTTTTCAGGCTGTAGATGAAGGGATTCAACACAGGGGTCACTGTGCTATACTGCACGGACAAGAGCAGATCCAGGGACGAGCCAGAAGGGGGCATGAGATAGCACAGAAAGCCGGACCCAAAGAACAAGGTCACTGCAGCGAGGTGGGAGGAGCAGGTGGAGAAGGCTTTGCTCCTCCCTGTGGTGGAACTGATGCTCAAGACGGTGGAGCCAATGCGGGCATAGGAGAAGAAGATTGGAATAAAAGTTCCCAGGCCATGCAGTAAGCTGGAGCAAAGTAGGACATCCGTAGCGATGGAGATATCCGAACAGGACAGGGGGAAGAGGGCAGGCAGCTCACAGGTGTAGTGGTGAATGGTTTGAGCCTCACAGAAGTCCAGGTTCACGGCCAAGAGCACAATGATGGTCGCGTTGAGAGAGGCCAGGCCCCATGAGGCCAACACCAGCCTCACGCACAGCTCGTTTCTCATCACCTGGCCGTAGAGCAATGGATGGCAGATGGCAGCGTAGCGGTCATAAGCCATGACCGAGAGCAGGCAGGCTTCAGTCCCAGAAGAAAAAAACACGAAGAAGACCTGAGCCAGGCAGCCCTCCACAGAGATGCGCTTCTTCACCGACAGGAGGTCCTTCAGCAGCTTCGGTACCGTGACGGACGAGAAGCAGAGATCCAGGAACGACAGGTTGCTCAGGAAGAAGTACATGGGGGTGTGGAGGTGGGAGTCGGCCCTGATCACCAGCAGCAGCAGCAGGTTCCCCGTCATGGTGAGGACGTAGATGCCCAGGAAGAGCGCGAAGAGTAGAGCCTCGATCGGGGGGTCGTCAGAGAGCCCAGTGAGAACGAACTCTGTGATGGCACTGTGGTTGCGCCAGGCCATTTGTGATCACTCCCTTGGAATAAAGTGGGAAGGGGGTGAGGTTTCCTGTGCCTTCTCTTGTCACACAGGACATCATCCTGCCTGACATTGAAGTTCCCACTACGTGTTCTAGAGAAGCTCAGACACCATCATTCTCGCGTGTCTAAAGAACATTGTGCCACATGTGACAGTGGTCCCAAACTTGCCCGCTCTCCTGATTCCTCCGTTCAGGGTGAGCCAAAGATCCTTACTTACTAGCACGTGAAATTTTATTAACATTAAGAAAAATTCTATTCAGAGGACTTTCTTCCTTTTCTTGTTTGTTCTCACAGCAATCCTAGGAAGTGTTTCCGTCCTGTAGAGTTATTTTTATTCTACCCCTGAGAAACGTGACGGTGAGTGGTATTGATGTCAAGGAGAGGGGCCAGAAAAAATTCCATTGTTTTCTAATCTTCTTTTTCCAATTTTCCAGTTTTCCTACCACAATATTCTGGAATTTTCCACACTCACCGTAGCTTGATTTTTTTCAGTTATCCCCCCTCTCTCTTTTATTCTTTTCTTTTTTCTTTCTTTCTTTTTTTTTTTCTTGAGAAAAAATTTATTAGAATTGAAAAAACAAAAACAAAAACAAACCACCACTACCACCACCACAAGACCCTTTAGGACAGCAAGCTGCGAATCTCCACGGTTCCCTGGAGGAGGGGGATGAAGGAAGACAAGCTATTTGACTTAGGTGTAGCAGTCAGCCGCCTGGTGGACAAGCAGCCACATGTCAGGAAGGGGAGTTTTGGAACAGGTAGGAACCCCAAATATTAGAGAAAGATTGTTTAGTCCCTGGCCAGGAGAGAGAAAAAGAACAAGTTATACCTTTCTGATTCAGGACTTTGAAAAGCAGGTGGAGAGATAGACATTTGTGGTGGCTTTGGACTGACTGCACAGAGGGCAAGGTTTTCCAGGTTTTTTGTTAGTTTGTTTTTTTCTTTTTTCTGAGTCAGGGTTTCTTTGTGTAGCCCTGGCTGTCCTGGAGCTCACTCCACAGACCAGGCTGGCCTTGAACTCACAGGGATCCACCTGCCTCTTTTATCCTAGGGATCCAAACTCACATACACCTTTCAGCCCCAACACATATCTTGTCATTTCTTCCAAAGATGTAGCGGAAGTTCTGCTCCCAAGAGCAGACCCATCAGGCAAGGATAAAGAGCATCTCAGATCTCAGTCAAGCTTACCTGTGAGTGTGGACAAGCAGAGGCACGTGTGTACGCTACTTCAGCCAGACCCAGGGATGCCGATGCTTGGACCTCTTTAGTCACAACTTCTGACCACCCTGTGAATCAGTTCATGAACACTGTTGAAAGCAGATGCCGTCCTGAAGGCTCATGTAAGCAATGAGAGGTGATGAATTTGCTCCATTGTTTCCCAGGATTTGAGTATTTCAAAGTATTTCATGGTAGAGCATTGTTGATAATTAACTAGTCTTTCACTTTTAGTCACAAGGAGAAGCCAGCACAGAGTCTCTAGGGAGCATGGAGCCTCATTCACGAATAATGTAGCCTTTCTGGAGTATTTTTCCTTATAAGCATCAAATGATTTTAGAAGCATCTCAAACAAGGGCTCCCATCCTACTCTTCATCTTAAAGGGCCCCTTTAAATGATTTCAGAGTTACTTTGTTTTATTGTGACTATGTTTGTGTGTGTGTGCGTGTACACATATGTGGGTGTGTGTGCGACAGCCAGAGGTCACTGTGGGATGTGTTCCTCAGCTGCTCTCTGTTTTTTGAGACAGGGCCTCTCCCTGAACCCAGCACCCTCTGATTCAGCTAGAGCGGCTGGTAGACCACTCCCCTCCTGTCTTCCCCTCCCCAGCACACACTGCCGGTCTGGTCTTTTTAAATGTGTGCTCAGGATCAAACCTGTCCTAATGCTCACACATCAAACACGTTACCCGTGCAGCCATTTCCCAGCCCCTTGACTCTAGGGATTTTAAAATTTTTTAAATAAATTTTACCATACAATATACTCTGACCACGGTTTTTCCTTCCTCATCTCCTCCCAGGTCCTCCCCACCTCCCCACCTGTCAGACTCCATGCCTTCTTTCTCACTCTCTCTAGAAAACAAGCAGGTAAATAAATAATCAAGCCAGAATAAAACAAAAGGAGAAAAACAAAAACAAAGACATGCACAAGAAGCATACACATATGTACACACACACACACACATATGCACACACACACTCATACAAACCCATAAGAACACATAATCAGCAACCATAACATACAATGAAAAGACCAGTAATGTTAAAAAAAAAAAAAAAAAAAAGCCCCAGCAGAGCAGTATGAGACAAAACATCTCCAGACGCACCCCTGAGCTCACCTTGGGTTGGCTGTTAGGGAGGCACCAGGTTGTCTAACAGATTGACCAGCCAAGTTCAGATTCTAGTGGTCTCAAAATGACAACGGACAATGTCTTCTAGAGTCTAGATACTAAAGCCCAAGCTGGCTAAACATCTCAGCTTTCAGGTTTCTTTTTTAGTGAAAGACTTTGGCTTAATTTTACAGTGACACTTAGACTCATGCCAGATTTATACACAGATGGGTGAGAGCAAAAGTCTGGTGTTCAGTAAGAGATGATCAAGAGTTAAAATTAGGGAAAGATGCTTTCGGAAGGGTCCTTGGTAGCCTGGCACACAATGGTTGTTTGGAGATGTATTTGGAATAAGAACGCGAGTGAAGCATAGGTTTGGAAGGTCAGCCTGGACAAGGTAACTTGGGGCCACTTTGGAGCTGGGAACAAAATGTAGGACTTAGGATGAGGCTCTGTCCACCATCTCCTCTGCTCATCCATCCAACCCACACTCTCCCAGTGGCTACTATGTCTCCAGTAGTTTTAATCATAGAAAAACTTACCAACGGGCTCTTTGCAAGCAGGGAAGAAGGAGCTCTAATGTTTTCTGGTATTCTTGTTGCATCCTAGCTGGAGGTTTTCTGCAGTCCTTTGGTACCCTGAAGCATGGAGAACCTGTATGCCCTAAGATATTTCTTCCCTTTGTCATGCAGTGAGGACCTTCCCAAAAAGCTGTCAACAGCATTTGGAACTGTGACGTGTTCAGAAACAGACAACAGGGGCTAATTCAGGGAAGGAGAGGCCCTATCAAGAACTGGGATGTTTCCATCTCTAGCTGAGGGAAGTCTGCTGGAGAGAGCAGGAGATTCAGTATCTAGCACTGGTGGGATAGAGGAAGAGATGATTAGCAAAGCTGAAAAACAATGATTGTCTTTCAGAAAGAAAAATTAGGAGGAACATCAGCCACCTGGCTTACATTAGCACCTTCTGGAGTCTCCTGCAGGAGAAAGCTTCTTCACTCCTGGGCACTCCTATAACAATCAATGCACCAAATGTAGAGATTTGCAGGGGGAGGAGGGAGAGAGAGAGAGAGAGAGAGAGAGAGAGAGAGAGAGAGAGGAGAGAAAGAACCTTGTCACAAGAGCATTGTTCTGGGAAAAGCAGTTCTTTTCCTTCTGTCAACAAATGGTGAGTTTAGAATGCTGCTGGAAACCCTTGAAATTCTACAACATTGAGAATACCTTCCCGGAGCAGAGAATCCTGGAGTGGGCTCTGGAGAGGCGTCATTCTGCAGTGCAAAGCACTAGGAAAAAGTCTAAAGAAGCTGATGTTTTATACAGGCATCCATTTCATTAAGACTTCACCGCATGATCTCAGATCAAGGGAGCTGCCGTCTCTCTGCGCCATTCTGAGTGTTTATTTCCTTTGTGGTATTCTGAAAGCAGTTACTTTAGGAATAGCTATTAAGGAACTCTCCAGCAGAACGGTCAGAAGGCTACCTGTGCTCCTGTATCAATAGGCTGTGTTTGGCACCCAGGGGATGCTGGGCCTATATCCCTGAAGTCTCAGACTGAAGCCAGTCTCTGGACTCACTAATTACACACTCCCTCATTACCCACAAAGGAACGCAATGGGAAGAATGGGGGTATTTGAACTTTCTGAATTATGACAAATGTCTAAAGCCTAGAGGAGGACTCATGGAAATTAGGGAGGAATAAGAAGGCATCTTTTTAGGAAAATTTATTCCCAATCAAGTTTATTTTCTGCATGACCACGTGGGAGCTGAAATGCTCTTTAGGGATTTCAAAGTGATCTAGGCTGTTACATATTACTAAGCTCTATGCTATTGTCTTATGAATAACCATCATATAGGCTTTTCTTAGTGATTTGCTTATTATCATTATTAGCCAGTTACTTTTATTAAATGGCAGCATGTTAAGCTGTATGAAAGTACAGCTGTTTTGTTTCAATAAATCTGTAGTTTGGCTTATATAAAAAGCAAGTTGTGGTTATTGAAGAAGAGGATGAATTCAAACCATATTTATCTCTTTAACATGGGGCATTATTTTATCCTCTCTATTTTAACAGCTATATTATATCTCACTATGCAGAGGGTAAATTGTGGCTTCCAGACAACACACTAAGTCCAAACTCCAAGAACTGGTAAATTTTATCCTGTTAGAAAAAGTCATGGGAATTTTTATCAAATTAAACTAAATATGTTGTGATGTGTATTACCCTGTAAGCCCTAAATAAAATGTCAAGGGCCCTAAAAGGGAAGGCAGAGGGACATTTGGAATAGACTGAGGGGGAAGGTACAAGGCAAGGGAGAAGACAATGTGACCACGAAGGCAGAGATTAGAAGGATGCAGCCAGTTATGGAATATTGACAGTTTCTAGGAGCCGAAGAAGCACCAGAACTCCCAGTGGGCGAGGAAAACAGCCGGCACCTGGCTTTTGAACTCCAGAACCACAAGAGACCACATTTCCACTGTTTTAAGTGACTAAAATGTTAATTGTTATAGCAGTTACAGAAAATAATATAGAAAATTTTGGTATTAGAAGCGGGATGCTAGCTGTGGTGTGGCGGCAGAGGCAGGCCGATTTCTCTTAGTTCCAGGCCAACCTGATCTACAAAGCGAGTGCAGGACAGCCAAGGCTACACAGGGAAACCCTGTCT